AATTTTTTTTGGCATTATAGGTTTCAAATCTAAACTTTTCCACTTTGATAATTTATCTTTCTAATAAAAACATATAGTATATAAAAAAAAACCTAATGCTATATTAAATTGTTGGAACATCATAATCCTTGTATCTGGTCAATTTACTTTGTTGACACAATTTTTATGCCATCATTAATTGTTAGAGGGAATCACAATCCTCGTACTCAATTTGAAGTTAACCTTAATCTTTACCCTTACATAACAACATGACAATGTTTGCCTTACTTAGAAGTATTATAATTCATATGCTAACATTTTGGATAATTATTCTTTCTCTCTCTCTCCGCGATTCCTCTAGCACTTCAATGCTTTCCATCACAACACAACAAAGTTAGATTTAAGGTTAATTATTTTAAACCAAAACTTAGATCTAATTAGGCCTAAGAACTTATATATTCATTCAAAGCTTAAGAGCTCGCTTGATAACCAAGATAGAATCATGATGGATAAGATAAGAGAGTTGGATAAACGTAGGATATAATAAAAGCATAATAAGACTTATTAAATTTAATGTTTGATGCAAACTTAATAGAAATAAATATATTATATAAATATGCATAAAATAATAATATTACTCTATTATTTATATTTATTAAATTAATTTTAATTTTTTGTAAGTTATTTATTTTAATTTATAAAAAATATATAAATATTTTAAAATTTTAAAAATAGAAAGAGGAGAAAGAAAAAGAGAAAATAAAATAAAATAAAGTATTTTTTAAAAAAAAAATTTCTATAATTTCTTTTTTCTAATAACCTAACTATATTATTATTTTATTCTTGTAGCTCAACGTACATATAATTAAAAATAAATATAATAATTGTTTTATTCTGTTCTCCCTTATCTTGACTATAAAAAAATGCTAAAATCTTGATTCACATTCATACAATTTTTTCTTTCATATATTGTTAAAATTATATATATATATATATATATATATATATATATATATATATATATATATATATATATATATATATATTCGTGCTGTCACCTCATGCGCTTTTATTCATCACAAATATTATTCACGGATCGTTTTATCACCTAACTTGGGGGAAAACTTGGTGTAGTTAGGATAAAGATTTATGGCCCACCGCGTGTTTAAAGTAGTTTTATCATAATAATAATAATAATAATAAATTGTTACAAGTTGGCAAATAAAATAAACACACGACTCCATTTGGTCGTGTTAAAATATGAAATAAAGGATTGCCATTTCGACTTTGTTACATATGGTTATAATTAAACACACCTAAAAAAATCAGCAAATTTTCATGTATCTTTTTAAAATGAAGTTTAAGTTCCTAAAAATTTCACTAGTCAATTATGCAGGTCACGTACCAGCTAACCAAATTAAGGAATACGAAATTTATAAATTTTTAATCAGAATTTTTATACTTTTTTTTTTCTCTCTTCAAACATTGATACTTCACATTGTATTCAGTAATCACTCGTAAATTCAGCATGTTTATGATTTACTATAAATATGATATACTAAAATCACTGATTCTGTTTTTAATCAAGCCAGCTGAATCAGTTTTCGTCTCATGCATGTCTCTTAATTCTTAAGCGACGAAGATTTTCATTAAATCATATAAACATTATAATTTTTAATTTAACTGATGGGGTATTTAGAAGCACAAAAACTAAATTAATTGATCTTTGGTGGGGGAGCTCTAAATAAAAAAGTACAAGTAAGTGGCTTGGTGCTATCAGTTGCGGGTTGCTAAAGGCCCTAACAATAATTAAGGACAGTAAGTAAGTTGATCGTTGCCAACCAAATGGTTCCCCACCACAACTAATAGCTAATGAAAGAAAGTGGGTCAGAAAACCCAGCAAGCATAAATGGAAAAAAGTGGCATTTTGCAAAAGCACAAGTCCAAAATAACTGTTATAATAACCTTTGTATTTTATATTTAACACTGCCATCATTTCGTTAATCCCTGATTTCCTTCCTCTAGACGCGCCTATAAATTATAATTAAAGATATAAACGTATAATTCACAGTTAGGAAGTGGGAATATATATATATAATTGAACAGCACTTGGATATATATATATATATATATATATATATATATATATATATATATGTAATGAGAGTTTTGGTCGAACCTTATTGATCATCATCAATTCCGAGGCTGTGGGTGACTTTGATGCCAAAACGGCATGTGGGGTATGCCAGATAGAAGAATATTGAACCCTAAGCCATTTTGATGCTTCTTGTAACTCAATTAAATTAATATGATTATTATTAATTTTGGTTTTTGTCTACTAAAGAAGAGCAATCATATTCCATCCAAACACCATCTTTCCTTACTCTCTTGTAGAAGCCACAGTACCAGGAGTATTTGTATTTGAGCTTTTTAGTTAAGGAACTTTCAGTATATTTTAATGATTTATTTAACGTTTTACATGTTAAAAAAATTAAATTCATTGATGCTATTAAATACTACATTTTAATAAAATTTAATTAATTATTAATATATTATCATATATAATGTTGCATAAATTATAAAATTGACATTTTGATGAGAAATTTATCCAAACATATGGCATAATTAAACAATGATCGAACGAAAATAAATTAAACACTTTAATCTAAGTTATGTATTATTATTAGATGTTTTACAGAACATTTTATGATTTTATTATTTTCAATCTTTAAAGTTGAGTTTAAGCATATAAAATTAATACATTTTTATGAAAAAATAAACATTATATTATGTATCTTTAATGTAATGAATATTTTTAATAAAAATAATTAATTTAAATATTTAAACTCTATATTAAAAATTGATATTAAAAAAATTAAATATTTTATTATTGACTTATTTTCAAAAATATTTTTTAATTATTGAAAATAAAATTTAATCAAATATATGTAAATCTGATTGTTTATACTTTAAAAATTAAATTTGCATTATAATTCATTTGATATTGTTTGTACGTAAATAACTATTTTTAACTTATGAAAAATATTTTTTTGTTAGAATATTTTATCTTTTTAAAAAAACAATAAAAAGCTAGTCCTGTAAAAACCTAGTCATTGCATCTATCATTAAAATCATACCTACAACTACAGCCTTTACTCACAGTTGGTGCGATTTCCCCATCAAACCATTTCACAAAGAAAGGAAACTTTCCTTTTTATAATATAATATAATCAATTATGAATACTAATCCCAGAATTTAAGGGCACATTACAAAAGTTACAAAATGTTGAAAAAATAGACAAATCAACCAAGCGCACTTATAGCAGCAGTGACAGTGACCCCTCCCACAGCTATCTCTCACATGGATGATGCTTTTGATTTCCATGCATCCTTCACACTACTGGAAATGGATGACGTTTACACTTTTTTGAAAAAAATAAATCGTTCATATTCTTATTAATTAGATGAAAGAGACATAATCTAAGATACTGCACATGATTCTACATAAATTTTATTAATCTTATTTTGTGCGGGATTTGTATACATGTTCTTTTCACATAATAGACTTGAGCAAAAAGTTGACATAAAAAATCCACATATATTAATGTCCTCTCATTATTGGAAACAAATTTAAAAATCTTATATGAAATAATAAAAGTTTTATGATAAGGAATTATTGCATGAAATACATGAAAAATACGAAACTAATATTCCTTCTCACACTGACGTGTGCTTGTTTCCTAGAAGTGGCCCCACATCCGAGGTTCAATTATAATGTTAGAATAAAAAAATATGATTATTTACTTTGAAATATTTTTGTTGAGAATTAAATTAATAAAGAAAAAAGTCATTCACGGATAAAGTCTTAACCTATCTCAGTTTGATGGATGGCTAACCAAACCCAAACGAACGCTTTGTCTTTGTTCCTTTTGTATTATATTCTACCATCAATCCAACGTCCATCGTCTACAGTTTATTTATACGCATGCATCCATCGATATTTATTTTCAAGTGCTTGCTTGTTTTGACCGAAAAATCGCCATCAGAAAATCAATTTATGAAATTATTTTCCTTTTGTTGAACAGAATTCTTTTCTATAATTTTTAACAAATATTAAATCATGTCAAATATATTTTGATATAAGATTTGTTAAAATTTTAAAAGATACTTTTTTAGTGATGGCGAAAAATTAAATTATATTTACATTTTAAAAGTAATTAAATTTTACTTTATGATTCGAATATAATCTATTATTATAAATATTTTATAAAATATAACTTAGACATGAATTACTTTTTATCTTCAATTATTTTAACATTATCTTTTTCAAAAATAGTTTGACAGCTTGATTTTATAAAATGATATTTATACATTCATATATATATTCAATTAATTTTAAAAGAAGCTTCTATAATATATATTATCCTTGTTTACATAATAAATAAGGGAAAACTACACTATCATTAATTCTTTAAATTTTAAAAAATCAATTTTTAGGAATTTTTTTTTATGTATACCCCATCATTAGCACTGAGTATTTGTTCCAGATGTTGGCAGTTTTGTAAATGGAAGAAACTCGCAGGGGTATTATGGGGAAAAAGCAAGTCAAAAGAACGACACCCCGCCAAACCGCAGTTCTTGCTGTAAAAAGAACAATAAAAAATGAAAAACCACGGTACGGTACGATGATTGGACCAAGCGCACGCGCGCGTGTGCAGGCTCACCCCTGTTGGCAGAACCGTAGTTAGGCGTGGCCCCGCGACGGAGGAGGTGGGGACGGCGCGTGGGGTGATGGAAAGTGGCCCCCACCGCAAGGAGGGTGTAACAATGATGCAGTTAGCGAAAAACAAATTGATTTCAAGTCGTTGGGAGGGGAGACAAATGAGTCAGGTTTACAAGCTTTTCTTTTCTCCCTTCTTTTTTTTTTTTTTTTTTAACCTTTTCAAAAAGCAATGTTAATGGCCACCCTTTAGATTCTTCTTCTCTCCTTATTCTCATCCTCATTCTTCTTCTTCTTCTCTGTTCTTCTTTTCATTCTTCAACTTCAATCCTGTCTTGTCTCTTTCTTTTTTTGCTTACCTGCAACCGGTATAAGCTGCGGTAACTCTATGTTTTAATCACCGTTTTTTGGTTACTCCCTTCTTTTTCTGTGAGTTCTCTCTTCTCTCTCTCTCTCTCTCTCTCTCTTCTGGATTCCCATTTCAGTTGCATGCAACTTGTAATTACTCTCTCACTTTTCTTTTATTTTTTTTCCTTCTATCCTTTGCTTCTGTGCTTCAAGTGCTACTTTTGCTGAGTGAGAAGTTAGATATTTTTTTTATTTTTTTAGTTTTGGCATTTGTGATTGAAGTTGAATGAAAAATGTGGAATGTGGATTAATTTGATAATATTTAGTAATGCACTTTGAGAAGTTGGTAATTAACTGACAATCCCCTTGCTTGATCTCTAATTATCAATGTTTTTAGTTTACTTTGTTTCTCTCTCTCTCTCTCTCTCTCTTTATTTATTTTTAATTATTATTATTGATTTACGTATTAGTCGCCCGTGTCATTGTCTGCAATTTTTTCATTTCTGTTGTGTAGATCTATATGGTTTCATGGTTTTGCGTTTTTGTTGGGCATGAGAATAGAGAAACCAAATCATACAACTTTTTTTCTGATTTTTTAATTTTGTTTCTATTATTGGAAGCAGCTGCACTAACTTGAAAATTCATTTGATAATGTAGTTTGGTAATATGAATGCTTGTTGACGTGGTGGCTTGCGCTTGATCCCTCTTTTTTCACTGAAAATAGGAAATAAGTCACTTCAATGTTTTGATTAAAAATCAACCACAACATAGTGGTTAGTTTATGTTATTGCTTTCAATCTTTCCCTTTGACTATTACTACTAATGCTAGCTGCTACTACTACATCATTTTTCTTCTGATTAGATGCCAGACTAATACTTCCATCGTTTTCTTTTTCCCGTTTTCAGGACATTTATGAATTGATTGACATATTAATGTGTTCCACCGGTTTTTTCTCCTCAAACTAAATGTATTTTAATGAAATGGCCGTTTTAGTCTTAACTCGTGTTGCATCTTATAACAAACCAACTGTATTAGCCTCAAATTCCAATCTTTGGTGATAACATTTCAAGATTTCGTCCTCTTACAAGGTCCAGTGGTCCAGTCTTCATTACCAACACTTCAACCTTTTCATCCTTTTTACATAACTTGGATGGAATGATTAACAATGTCCATCATGATTGATTTCCAAATCATCGACACTTGAGGAACTTTTGTTGCTTGGGTTTTGATTATGGTTTAATCACGTATACTTGTGTGGGCATGAGTTTGTAATGCCCTTTCCTTGTTGTATGGTACGCATGCACAGGATCAAATGTGTTTGATACATATTAAAGTGCATACATATGCATAAAGCATAAGAGTGAAAGTCTAGACTCTAGAATTGTAATTATCCAATCTGGTTTGGCTAAATAAAGACGCATTTATTTAGTATTGATATTTTCTTCCTGGTAATGGAGCATTTAGTATAAAGATCCCACCAGTATCAGCCATATTCTTTCATGCCTTCACCTTCTCTGTATCACATGTCATGCATCCTCAATTTACTTAACTAAGCTGGGTTGGATTGTAGTTACTCGTGAAGAAATTGAGTATTCTATACTTAAATGTTGCTTTTTTTCACTCGTCACTGAGATGTTCTTAGTTGAAGGTCTCATGCAATATTGAACTTTTTTTTACCAGACCATACCATTTTCACCATGACAAAGATTACTCCCGACGTTGAAATCAAGATGCCAATGGAGGCAGTTCCGCCAGTTTCAGCTGACGTGAGCTTCATTTATAATAGTTTTCCCAAGTATAAATTGGGAGCCGATAATCAAATTCTGGAAGAGCCCGTTGAGGATAATCAGGGTCCTTCTTTGAAGGATGTTATTGAACAAGAAGCTTCCAATTTGTCAGACCAGCACAAGCGTATCTCAGTTCGTGACCTTGCCAGTAAATTTGACAAGAACTTGGCTGCAGCTGCTAAGTTGTCTAATGAGGTTTCTGTCTTTATTATTTGCTAATGGTCTACTATTGTATTTTCCTTTCCTTAATAGAAAATGCCAATTTTATATTCAATGTTCCCCTGTTCAGTCAAACACAAATTAATCAGGTAAATAGCAAAATAAAAAATTAGCGCAAGTTAGATCTCCTTTTAATTTTAGTTAGTCAGGACTACCTTTGTTGAAATAAAGTTTGTTATTGACTTCAATTTACAGTTCATCAGTTTCCTTTTGGCATTTCATTTGGGTCATATTTCTTTTCTCAACTTCTGTCTTTTTTCCTTTGGTGTGTGTGGAACTCAGGCAAAGCTAAGAGAGGTGGCATCTTTGGAGGGACACGTTCTTTTGAAAAAACTAAGAGATGCATTAGAATCTTTAAGAGGTCGTTTTGCAGGAAGAAACAAAGAGGATGTGGAGAAAGCTATCTCTATGGTTCGTTATTTTATATTATTCAACGGTTGGGTACATTACTTTGTTCAAAGTTTGAAGTAACATTTCTTTCTGTTTTATGACAACGATTGAGTCTTCCTTATTTTTAGTTTTCCACCTTTGCTGGACTTCCACATGTTTCTAAGAAAAGCTATTTTGGAATTTCTTTTTCCTCTTCAATTCATGTTACTAATACTGTGTATTCAAACTTTTTAACAATATATTCCTCACAGGTGGAAGCATTAGCTGTTAAGTTGACTCAGAATGAAGGAGAACTGATTCAAGAGAAGTTTGAAGTGAAGAAGCTTGTCAACTTTCTCAAACAGGTCATCTTTGACTTCTAAACGTTTTATGAATGTTATAATTTCTACCAAAACTTTCTGCTCATAGTTATGATTTACTGGAACAGTTTCTAAATTTGCCCTAATAATGCTTTGATCCAATTCCAATATTTCATTTGGACTTTTTTTTACTGATTGTAAAACAATAGTTTATTTTATATAATGGAATGAAATTGGTCACTCTGAAAATTATTGAGATTTGTGTTCTCTTCTATAATGTATATTTTCTTGTAGTACCAGTATTTCATTTAGACTCTATTAACGCCTGCAATTATTTTTCCTTCTCCAACGCTTTCTGAAATTGTTTTAATTTCTATTTCTTCCATTTAAATATGTTGATCCTTTTTTTCTGACAAAAACAAAATTTGGATCCATCTTTGTTCTTTAGGCTTCTGAAGATGCTAAAAAGTTGGTTAATCAAGAGAAGTCTTTTGCATGTGCTGAAATTGAAAGTGCAAGGGCAGTGGTGCTGAGAATTGGAGAGGCACTTGAGGAACAAGAAAAAGCTTCCCAAGCTTCTAAACCACAGGTACTACTAACATGTTTTATTACTCGTGTAGGTGTATGTGCATATAATTTTGCATTAATGAATTCCTAATCAATCGTTACCTTACATGTATATGAAAACTCTTAACATATAAATGTTCAAGCTTGAGTTTTCTGAACTACCCTGTAAGTAGTTCTTTACTAGTCATCTACGTAATATCTTCATATCATGTGATATTATTCTACTGTTTGTGATGATATATGAATGTGGAAAATCTCTAAAACTGCCCCATTGATATTATCCTTCTGTTTGTAATGATATACGAATGAGGAAAATTTCTGAAGGTGTCCCATTGATTTTGTGTAGTTATTAGTTTGTGAGTATGTAAATAATACACTATCTGCTGTTCCTCACTGTCAGGATGTGGATGGACTAGTAGAAGAGGTTCAAGAGGCTAGAAGAATCAAATTGTTGCATCAGCCAAGCAAGGTGAATGGCTTTTTGCTTCCTCAATACTGTTGTAGCTGATAATTTTGGCTTAATTTCTCTGTACTACACATTATTATTATTATTATTACTAGAATTTTCCAGATTTTGAGAAGCCTTAATACTACAAATTTTTCCATAATTCTGTACTTAAATGTGCAATACACCGCACTTAGATACCACTTTTTTCCCTGAAACCTTATAAAATGGGAAAATTTGATTTTGAAACATTTGAAATGTCATTCACACAAGTTTTGAAATGCATAGAAATGCCATTAAGTGCTGAAATTTGGTTTGAATTGTGTAAAATTGATTATATCATATCTGTGAAAATATGTTACATTTTAAAATTAATCTTTATGTGTATATCAATGTGTTACTGCTTTTAATTATATATTCTGCAGTACCTGTATCCTAAATCTAATTAAAATTTCCATGTCAATAAATCATATAATATTTGGATAGCTTGGGCTGACCTGTGCAATTAGGCACATCATAATTTAAGGACCCATTAGCTAGGTGTATTACAATTTAAACATTCTTTATAGTGCTGAAACATGAGAATTGTATGATGATTTCAGGTGATGGCCATGGAATATGAACTCCGTGCTCTAAGGGATCAAATTCGAGAGAAATCTTTATTTTCAATTAAGCTTCAGAAAGAGGTTTGTTGATTTCTTGTTTTGCTTTTACTTGCTCAATTAACTATCGAAGTCTATTATCAATTTGACTGAGCAGTTATATATTTTACGTTTGCAGTAGGCCACTAGTTTATTCCTATACCTTTATTACAACTGCACAAAAGTATATCTTTTCCAACTGAGGTCTTGTGGCATACCCTGATCATGGAATGCGCTCCCCCTGAACTTTTTGTGCCTAACAAATTAACTTTTTTCATACTTTTAAAGTAAATTATGAATTATCTTTGTGATCTTTTAACCACTGAACTTGAGTTTGTTTGGGTGCTTCTGATTTTTAAGGATGGCTGCGCCTAAATAACTTTAATGGGAAGGAAAAATTCATGGAAAACTGGCTAAACAGATATATACCACTACCTACAAATAGCATAATTTTTTAGTGTGAAGAATGCCGATAAGTAGAGAACTGTTACAAATTTTAATGATCTAATTTTTAACATACTGATCTTTGACTGTTCCCACCTCATATGGTAAGCAACTGCAAAGTGCATCTTTTGCAATAACTTCATTTTGTCCATGCCAGCTAACCATGAGCAAGAGGGACGAGGAAAATAAATCTCGTTTATATATGTTAGATGGTTCTGACGCTTTGGGTTCATATCTGCGAATCCGGCCCTGCTCAGACGAAGTGCCACAGGTTTCAAAATGTTTATTTCAGTGGTATCGCCTGTCATCTGAAGGCAGCTGGAGGGAAGTTATTTCAGGTACTGCTCTTTTTGTTGATTTTCAAGCATATTTCAAAGTAGGTCTTAGTATTTGTTTTGGTTTGTATTAGTAACATTTAGAATTGATTCTGATAATTTTATTTCCTTCTGGAAGTTTTTAAATGATTTTATTATCTATGTATATACAAATCAGTCTTTTTGATTTCCATCATAGATCGATACTTGAGATGTAAAACCATTCATGTGCCTTAGTCTAACAGCTGAAGTTTTAGGTTATCTGGTTCTTCTGGTTCTTAACGTGGTACCAAATCCTTTAGTCAAATAGTCAGGATTCAATTTATGCCACCTTCATTCTCCATTAATCAAATTAAATTGAAGGACAAGGTAATGCGGTGCATTGTGCACACTTCAACCCCAATGTGTTTTTGCATGAAAGTGTGCAAGAGATATGAAATCATTCCTTAGCCTCCACATATTAGCTTAAACTTTTGGGTTGATTTGGTTTTTAACATGGTATCAAATCCTTTTCAACCGAGTAATTTTGAAATCAATCTTTGCTAACTCCATTCTAAGTTGTCCATGATTCAAAACGAACATGGCTCATGAAGGGGGTGTTTTAAAGATAAATATTTTCTTGAACCTCCATCTAATAGTTAAAATTTGAATAGGATTTCTAACATAAGCTTACATGATTCAATTTTTTTGGCCCTTTTACTGAACAATTTCAAATTTAGATGGTGCTTAAATGCTGGTATAGGGATGTGAGTCATGTGACTATTTCTGGAAAACATTTGACATGGGAATGTTACTAAAATAAAAGATATCTGACTACATGAATTCATATCACACATACGCTTACATGATTCAATTTATTTTGGCCTTTTAAGATACAATATTTCTTGACCTAGAAAAGATGTGCAACCCATCTATCTCCATCCGAGTGAGTGGCTTGCTTTTAGCTCTCAGAGTAAAGTCAGTATCTTAATATAAATTTACGAACATGATTTGTAAAACATCATTTGCGATTCCTGCTCCTAAGTTAAATTTAAAAGAAGGTAAGTGCATACAAAAGCCACAAGAAAAAAAAAACAACCACAATAACAATGAAGTCTTATCCCATTATGTGTGATTGACAACATGAATCATACAATGTCGTTGGACTCAGTCAAAAATTAAATTATTTAATATATTATTTATTACTAGATTTTTTTAATAATTTCCTTTAAAGTTCTTTTGTATCTTCCTTTATCTCTTGTTGTCAAATTAAAAGTCATATCATTCATTCTCTTCACTAAAGCACCTAGTAGTCTTCTTTACACATATCTAAATCATCTTAATTGATTTTTTCATCTTTTCTACAATAGGTATTATTTCAAATTTTTTTTATACAGTTATTTTTTATCTTGTTTTTTTTTACATGACTACTCATCTATCTTAGAATTTTCATTTATGTATCCTTCACTTTTTTTCTGAGTTATTTTTTTAATTTTCAGCATTCACTACCATATAGAATAATTGGTCATATAGCAATACAATAAAACTTTTTTTTAGCTTTATAGGTATTTTATGATTATAAATAATTTTCAATACTTTTCTTCACTTAGATCATTTAGCTTGTATTTTATGACTAACATCTTTATTAATTTTTTTATTATTTTTAGAATTGATCTCAAATACTAAGAGCATGTTTGATTTCTTTTTTAAAAACAGTTTTTTGTTTTTAAAAATAAAGTATGATACAAATTTGTACTATATTTTATAAAACTGTTTTTAAAAAGGAAATGAAACACGCTCTAAAACTTGGAGATTTATGATTTACTCAATTTGTATTCTATGAATAATATCTTCGTTAATTTTTTCATTATTCTGTAGAATCAATCCTAAATATTACAATTTAGAGATTTATGATATTACATTATCTCTAATTTTAATTTTTAGTACACATTTATTATCTTATTTTTTGTTAAAATTGCAATATATATACTTTGTTTTACTTTTATTCAAGTGAAAGCCCTTAAATTTCAAAACATGCCTTCAAAGTTCAAGATTGAAGTTAACCTCTTATTTTTATCCTCAACCAAGACTATGTCATCTGCAAAGAGAATACATTTATGTATAAAATTTTGTATGTTACTTATAAATAAAACTCAAGTACAGGAGTCAAATAAATAAAAAATGTGACAGAGTTGGCATACAACCTAGTATACTATCTAGAAGTACAGGAGGAGTACAGGTATTGAGTATGCAGTTGCTATTGATATGACAATATATTTAAGCAGCAGTGCTTCATGGATGAACACACTTTTGTGATCAAGGAGGCTTTGTTTTATCATAGTTTTTCTAACAGGAGTTGGACATGATAAATTATTAATAGTTTTGTTATTCTGGTGAGTGGTGACTAGCATCTAAGGATGTTTCAATTGCAATGTTCTCACTTCTTAATACAAGTGGAAATTTGCAGTAACTTGGATAAATTTTATGGGAGTTTGATAAATTATCCATGAAAGTGGAAATGCAATAGCACTTTAGTAACCTAATACATGTTTAGTTCAACTTATTTAGAAGAAACAAGTGCCTTTTTCATTAACTTTCTGAAAGAATTTGTAAAGATCCCACGTTGACTACAGATGTAACTGAGGTAGAGTTTATTAAGGTTATGACAATCTCCACCTTATGAGCGAGCTTTTGGGATTAAATTTGGTCTAAGAACAAAATTTAAGATGATATCAAAGCTTATTGTAGATTTGATGTTAAGTTATCCTTGATTGTAAAAAAAAAAAAATCTTGCCTCATGAATTTTCCCAATGCAATTTATCTAGGCCTATAGCTTTCCCATTGCAGTCTACCTAGTCCAGCGGTGACAACTAAAAAAAAAAACAGTCCTATAATTTCTATGCCACACATTCCAATATTGAGCATTCGGAAGTGTGTTGAGGTTATACATTGACCATAAATATGGCCAAAATATAGCTTATAAAGAATAAGGCAAACCTCACCTTATGAGGTAACGTTTGACGTTAAGTTAGACCAAAGTCCAAATTTAAGAGAATTTAATTATTATTTCTCAAAATTAATTTCTTACTGAACATGCTATTATATCCAGCAAATATAACTTTTTCAATTTTGCCTCTGTCATGCTTTTCTTTTCTGCCACATTTGGTTCCTATTACTTCATTGACTTTACAAGATGTAGAGCTCCATCTGGTGGTGGAACCTATTTTTATTTCTAACTTTCATAAGTTCATAACAAATATTATTATATGTATGTTATTTGAATTTATATATGCTCCTGTTTTCTTGACTGGGCTCAAATGGCTAATTCTTATGATGCCTTTATTTATCAGGTGCCAATAAATCAATTTATGCTCCTGACCCGTCTGATGTTGGGAGAATCTTACAAGTAGACATTGTCTCCAATGGCAAAAAACTTACACTAACAACTAATCCCATTCAAACTGGTTAGTTTTGTTATGGACCTTACCTTTTGGCCTTAGCTTGCACGGTTGGGGTTATCTTGTACCTCACAGTACCTGTTGATGCATCCAGAAGTTGAAAAGAAAGGCTAACAGCTACCTCTGTGTAACAGTTTCAGGACTTGGAAGCCATGTGGAGGCACTTCTACGAAAATCTAATACTGATTTTAATGTATGTTATCCACACTCTTTAGATTCAGTAATTTTAATTATTCCTCGCAGAACAAACTTATCAAATTATCAACTTATAGCATTTGATACAGAAAATGAAGAAAAGTGTTATTTAATTCAACAAACATTAAAAAACATCTGTCAGTCTTCTCAAACTTCTTTTGAAGATGACCTTTAAAAGCATCGAGTTAAATTCTGTTTAGTCCTACGAACCTAGCTTATTTGGTTGAGACATTTGCTTTTTAGTTCTTGACAGGGAAGTTCTTGATAGTTGATAGGACTCCCCCAGATGCAACATCCATTTACTATTTAGTTGTGGGGATCCCTTTGGCACTATCATTGTGGCAGGGCCTCCCCTAAGCCCTAACAGGATTTAGTGCCACAAAAAAAATAAAAAAAATCCTTGTGTTAGTGTAGCATCTACCCTTGTATTATTACCGTTGCAAACTTGCAACCAAGTTCTGAGTATTGTATCATAAAGACAAATGTTTTATTTTCTTCTGACTCTGATATTTGGATTTATTGGATGCTATATTTTTCTGAGTTGGTTTTTGTAACATCAAAAGAGAGCTTAATGTTGTGATATCAAGTCCACATTGTTGGGCTAGCAACAAATCAAAGGCTATACAAGTAAGGGGGTTTCAACCTCTAATAGCCTAAGGCATTTTAGATAAGTGGGCCTCTCAAACTCAATTCCAAACACACTCCTTCTCATGATTGGCATAAATATGTATTATCTGCCTTGTCTAATTTTTGACATAAATAATTCTTGCAAATTTTGTATCATGATTTTATACAGGTAGTTATTTCTCAGATGAATGGAAAAGATCACTCTTCACATTCTACTCATTCATTTAACGTGGGGAGAATGAGGATAAAGCTATGCAGAGGTTGGATTACAAAAGCTAGAGAGATTTACTCCCCATCCATGCAGGTACTATTTTGGCCATTACTTGTTATTGTCTCATAGAACTTGTTAAAGTTAAAGGCTTTTTTGAATCAAAGTGCACTATCTCATCTGCATACTGTTTTTTGTTATCCATCTTTCAAGTTCTCTATTTGACTATATCCCTTAAACTAACATTTTACTTAACTAAAGCTTTGTGGAGTCCGAGGTGATGCCAGTAACGCAGCGAAGGCATTGTTTTGGCAAGCTAGGAAAGGGCTCTCCTTTGTATTAACCTTTGAATCCGAGAGAGAAAGAAATGCAGCCATTATGGTTGCCAGGAAATATGCTCTTGATTGCAATGTAAGCATCTCTAGTACTTATTTATCTGCTAATTCTTATGATGCCTTTCTTGTCTCCTTATTGTTTAGACACGTTGCAAGTTTGCTTTAAAAGCTCCGCATACACTTTTCCTTGCTGGAATGTATCTCTAGTATCCTCATTCTTTCGTTTTGGACATTCCTGCTAATTAAAATGGAGTAATTTTTCTTTTAAATGGCAGGTCGTGCTTGCTGGGCCAGATGATCTAGTGTAGAAGCAAAATTAACTGACCGAGTTTTTCCAACAAACGTGAGTTTTATCAGATTCTTGGTGTGAGTATACATGTGTGCTTGTTTTGTTAAAGAAAGATATGATTTTATCTTTGTGATTGGGTTTCCACTAATTGGGTTGCATTGTTTTAGGCATGTTTTTTTTATTTGCCTAATCATGTTGTACCAAATTCAACCTTTTATAATTATTAGCTCATTTGTTCATTGTGCCTAATTCACTGTCTACAAGTTATTTTAATGTTTTTTAATGTAAAGTACATCCAAAACATGGTATATACCAAAATTTTTCGATGTTTATGGTCTCGTAAATTTGTCACGCAGCCTTAAGTTGGGAAGCAAGTTCTGATTGAGATATATTAAAGATAAAAAAAAATAAATTATATATCGTTAGCTTTATACTTTATTTATTGCTAAAATATAGTGAATTAATGGATTCCACTGTTCTTTTCTTATAGCTAAAATCTAGCGAATTTATGGGTTCCATTTTTTATTTTGCTAAAACATTTCCATTTCATGAGATTTGGTCTTCTCTCCGCTCATGTATGTGGAAGTAATTGCACTTTCAAAGAAGGCACCATATATTTGGCTAATTGCTATGCTGTACAATATATCCTCAAACACCCGTACTAAATGGCTTCAAAATTTGAGAGGCTGAATAGAGTTTTTGATATCACATTTGTACTTTGGTTACAAATCTTCCATTTTTTTCTATCAACTTATAATAGTCTCAGTAGATTAGTAGATTTGCATATTGTACTTTTTATCTTATAGTTGTCTCATGTTTAATAGATTATGATGACGATCAAGAGAATAAAAAATACTTGAGATGTAGTTCTGAGAACTATCTTTTAGTTTGATAATAACTTGGCCTTTTCTTAATATTAGAATATTTGAATTATTTTTGAATTTTATGATAGATTTTATGGTTTCACCCGGAGAGTAAAATAGCTCCTTCCTACACATATGATTACTAACACTTGGTATCTAAATATTAGATGTTCTTATCTTCTGCAAAATTATTAGTTGCTAAAAATAAACTTTGTGGGTTATCAGAATTCTTGTCAGTATTTTGATACTGATTTTTGGCCAGTTGCTGAAATCTACAATTTGCAGCTTTATGACCAAACTTTCCACAATGATAACAATTAAAATTTGTTCTTTCTTGATAATAGCCCCTTCTTCCTCTTCATTGGCTAATAGTCCCAAAATTATTTTTTCTTGCTTGATTAGGTGGCGCGAAATTGTTGTCTTTTTTTTATTATTGAAATTGCTACGACCTCTTCTTCTAAAATTACCACGACTTTTACTTTTAATATTTTGATTGGACTCAACATTGTTGATGAGATTTACCTAACTCTTTAAGGCTTATTTGTTTACTTTTTTTTTTATTTCTCCAATATTGTGCTCACATTGTTCTTTATGCTTTCCTACAATTATGCTATAGTCAACGTGTCTGTATCATGAGACTTTATTATTGTAATTACTACATGATCAAACTTTATCAGCATATATAGAGAGAATTTTATCTACCATCTTGCTATCTGAGATGTCATTTTCGTACACCCTCATTTTGTTCATGGAATCTGTGACACGTAAAAAATATTCTTTAACAGTTTCTGAACTAGACATCTCATAACTTTCATGTTCTATACCTAAAGATTGCAATTTGGATTTTTGAACCTTAATTTCTTTATAAAACAGTTTCAAAATGTTTCACGCTTCTTTAACAGTTTTGGCATTTTCTATTTTGCCAAATATTGAATAATCAACACCTTGATAAATTTGTGATAATGCCAACTGAGCCCTTCTTTGAGTGGTTGCATCAACTCCCGCTTCTAATCTTGATTCAACAAAGCTTCAGATATTGTGAGCTTTTAAATAGGTAGACATCAAAAGTGCCCAATAATTATAATCAAGCTTCTCATCTAATTTGGAATTGGACTAAACAATATTGTAATTTGACACATCTTCCTCTTATAAATTATATAAAATTTGTAAAAATGAGAACTCTCTTGTTCCTCACATACTCACTCTTTTTTAATAAAATTCAACACTCAGACTCTCAAATCTCTCAAGCTTTGATACCAATTTAATATCACAAATTCATAAATACTAAAGTTCTCGTTCATTCAACTTTCTCAACACAATACATAATTTATGCATGCCTAAATGATTAAAATAATGCATAAAATTATATAGCTTAATTGCTAAGCATACATGGCAAAAATTCAAGTTTGATAAGAAATTTGACTATTCAAAATTCAATTTGGAATTAAATACTTGCTAATTAGTGCCACAATATTTGACTATTTCTAATATTTTAAAAGCTTCATGAATCTTCACATTGTTAAGCTCTTTTGTTTAACTTGAATTTTTTTTAACCTTATAATTATCTTAATAGGTAATAATGAGTTGTCATAAGATAAGCTTGGTTTATCTTCTAACAATTTTAAATTTAAACTAATGCCTTCAAAAATGAAGAAGGTGAATAGAAATTTTAAAACTTTTCCTAAATTTTTTGCCTTTATTTGTTTTTTTTACTTGAAGCTGTTTCCGTTGGGTATGAATGGACTCATTTTGTTAAGAAAAAATAATGAATTGAGATGAATGCACAATGTGTACAAAAAGAAAATGAATAAACTTGAAGATGAGGAGTTAAGGGTAAGAAAGCTTGTATATAACATTTAAATTTTCGTTATCTTTGTATATGCGAACAGGATTGTGTGTTCGAGTACAAGACACCAAAATTTAAATTCTGGCCTCTCAACTGTTGCATTTCCAACACTTCATTCTAATAAAACTTATCCACCTTAGAAAAAACGTTTTAAAAGGCAATTTTTTGTTAAAAAAAAAGTACGCTTAAAAAATAATTTAAAAAAGAGAAGACACCTTTTGATATATCTTTTATATTTAAGATATATTTTTAGAATAAGCATATATGTAAAATATATATGTATATATATATATATATATATAGACAAAAATTTTAGTGGTTCAAGCAATGAAACTCTTAAAAATATTTGAAGTCCTGGATAGATTTTCATGGAAAACTTGGACTTTTTCTTCGTACAATGCAAATTCTACTTGTTATCATCAAAATCCTTAAAATATGTTGTGTTTGAAAAGCGCCCCAACAGACATTTATGCTGAGCCTCATTGCGGGCAACATATTGGTTCATGTGCCTCAAAAAGACTTATAACCAACTATGTTATCATTTTAGCATATTAGATAAGAAGTTAGGAATGAGTAGGACGTGAAATGTAGTCTTAAAGATATTATTAATCGCCAAATAGAATCTTAGAGCAATTCTACAGAGAATTTCTTTACTCACTTTTTACTGTTAACTAATCTAATGAATCAAAAGTATATGATTCGAGTGATATAAAGTGGTGAACAAGCAGAAAGAATTATTTCTTCTCTAAAAAAAAATATTCCGTAACAGGATACCATGTGATCTTCACGTTATGATATATGTCTAAATTTTATAATTTTTAAAAAATGACAGGTGTCACAGTACGACTATTCAATATCATATAATCTCGAATCAAAAAATGTTGAATATAAATTAAAGTGTACACTAATTTATTTTAAACGAAAAAAAGAAAAAAACAAACAGCATGCACCAAAATCAAGAGAGAATTAAACAATAATACTACCTTTAAAAATTTTGCAGGATACTATACGTAAAATTTTTAATCAATAATATTTAGATATATATTTAAATAATAAATTTATTTAATAATAAATTATTATATTTATTATATTTAAATAAGTTAAAAACAGTTAAATTTTTAAACAAAATCAGTGACATATTTAAAATTAAATAAAATAAAATTTAAAAATAAAATAATAATAATAATATATTAATATATTTTTCATATTCTTAATTATATTAATATTAATATTTCATTATTTAATTATTATATTAGTATATTATATTATAATTTTTTATTTATAATAAATAAAAATTATATTTTATTTGAAACTTAAAATATTTATACACATGTTTAAATAATAGATTTATTTAATAATAAATTATTATATTTAAACAAACTGAAGAATGGTTAAGTTTTTGAACAAAAACAGGATGCAATTAAAACTAAATAAACTAAAGTTTAAAAATAAAATAATAATATTATATCAATATATTTTTTATATTTTTAATTTTATTATTATTAGTATTTAATTATTATATCAATATATTATGTTATAAGTTTATTTATTTATAATAAATAAAAATTATTTAAATATGAATTATATTTTATTTAAAATTAAAAATTATAAAAAATAGAAAAATAAAATAAGAAATTTAATATAATATAATATATATAATAGGATCATATAATAAATAATATAATTTTAAATAAATTATATATAATAATTTATTTTTTAATTTGTCATATATTTTATTTTTATTAGTATAATTTTTTTAAGTACGATGTTTATAAAAAAAAATTTAGAATGTTACAGCACACACCTAATAATAATAAATTAAATAATTAATTTATGTGTTAACTTTACAACTTTACAGGATACTTTCTTTCATTACAAATATAATAATAATTAATTTTTTTATCCATAAATAAAATGAATTTATATAATTAATTATCCTTTCCACATAAGTAAAACGGATATTGTGACAGTACTAGTTTTAAAATAATGGAAAGTTAAGTGTTGTTATTTTGTAGGAAAAGAATTCTTATAAAATCAACAGGAAGGAAGATGTCTCTCTTTCAATCAATAAAATTGATAAGTCAAAAAACAAAAAGGAAAAAAAACTGGATAAAAATCATGCTACTTGCTTCACATACGAAATTCACGTAAAAATTTCCATACTAAAACGTAATTTCACAAAATGATTATCGATGTATTGTGAATAAAATAATAAAAATTATAGTTTTACTAAATGACTATCGTCTTTCGCACATTCTTCAAGTTATTATGATTAGTAAATTAATTAAAAGCTACAAAGATTGGAGTTTAAATTCTCTGAGTAAACCGGTATCTTGTTCTAATGCGAAAAGGGTTAAATCATATGGATATTTAAGAAATAATGTTTAATTAAAAATAATAAATTTAAAATTAATACGAAATATTATTTAAATTTAATTAGAAAATGTTAATACAATTGTATTTCATAATCATAATTGGTTTTTAATAAAATTTTAACATTTACTGTTAATCACCGAAGTGACAACTATTTATAACTAAGTTATAAAGTAAATAATAGTCATTACCAATGAATATTATACTGTTGATTACTTAACAACTATTGTTTACTCAAAGATGAATGACAACTGTTCACAATATAGTCACTCTGACTATTATAGACCAACCACATATGAATGATAGAAATTGATAATATATGTTTTATTAATATTAAATTTTAAAGCTGATTTAAAATATTTAAATGTATTAATTTTTTATTAAATAAAATATTTATTATATTTTATATTTTTGGTATAATAAATATTTTTAACATAAAATTATTATTTTTATTTTCTTAAAATTGATTTAAAATTTAATATTAACATTTTTCTTAATAATGAATTTCATATGGTATTTAAATAGTAATAACCATTATGTAATAATCATATGATTAAGCTTGGGATTAAAAATGAGTCTATTGATTTTAACTTCTTATGTTTGAAAGTTCTATTAAAATTAAAATAATGAGTTTTATAGAATTACAAAATAATTAGCTTGAATTATTTCAAATTATTAACCAATAGTCCAAGACGTTGAACATTGTTAACTTCTAAGCCTGCATTGTCATAAATATTTTCAAATTTTAAAAATTACTTATATATAATACAAGTATAATTAAATTTAAAATTCAAATACGTAAAATGAATAACACTTGACACCAGTAAAATAAAGAAAAATAAAAAAAAAGATGCGAGTGTTTGACATTCTTTTGGTTTTGGAGAGCTGATTTTTGACTCTTTAGTACATTGGTCATGTTAGTGTTTAACACAATATTTATACTGAATTTCCTAGCTATATCTCATAGGTTGATGGTTCCAGGGAAAATGGACAAAAAAAATAAAAAATAATAAAGAAACATAGCTATATATCACATAGATGGGTTAAATTATAAAATTATAATTGGGCATACAATGGAAAATGGAAAAAAATAAAATAAATATGTAAAGTTAGCTTGAAAAACAGTGCACAAAAATATTATCAATATTGGAAGAATAATCAAGATGGCGTGAATAAAATAATAAAATATATATAAACGTGTCAAACTAAAATTGAGTTGAATAAAATTTTTTACAAATTTAAATTTTCACACAATTTTCAAGCTATTATAGTCAGTAAATTAATAAACAAAATACAAAGTTCATGGTTGAAATTATATACACAAACCAAAATTTTCAAAGTTTATAATAATAATAAGATACTTAATGAATAATATTTCATTATAAAATAATATATTTAAAATTAATAAAAGTATATTTACATTCTTCATTATAAAATGATAATATTATTTTATTTAACAATCAAAGTTATCTTTAATAAAATTTGAATAATTACTTTAATAACTTAAAAGATTAGAAATAATCCCTTATATGATCATTTTTCAACGATAGAATTGAGTATGCAATCTGGTCCACGTAAAACTCACAAATAACTGAGGTTGTTAAAAATTAAAAGATTGTTTTTCTTTTATGGCTTTACACCCAATTCTTATTCTCTTCCTAAAATATTAACTAGAAATTCATAACAAAAATATTAACATTAATCGAAATTCTAAAAATATATCCTAAATAGTAAGAAAAGAAATTTAAAAGTACATAAAATCGTAAAATAAAGTAATATTTTAAATAAAATTATAAATAAATTTTGATTCGTGAGATCCAAAATTTAAAAAGGCATTTTATTACCCTTGACAATTTCATTTATTTACATTTTTTTTTCCTTATAACTTATATATTACCTATATTTTGGCCCTTTTCCCATTACTTTACTATTTTAGGTTCTCCGCAGCTCGCAGCCTCGCACGCACCCCTTTTGTTTTTGAATCTCTAACGGCTACAACATTGTCCAGAGCGACGCTCAACCGTTAGATGAAAATAAAAATATCGAACGGCTCGTATGTACGGAAAAATTTGACCGTTGAAGCGAAGAAGCGTCGCTTCCTTCAGCTTCAAAAGAGACTACTTTTGTCACTGTCTCCACTCATTCGCATTCGCATTCTTCTTCCTACGCAGAGAGAGAGAGAGAGAGAGAGAGAGAGAGAGAGAGGTTACACCCAGAAGAGGAAGATCACAGTTTGATTCAAGACAAGAAGAGTTTTCGAAATGGCATCAAGACCCACAGTTCCACAACAAGCCAGAGGTATTGTATTGTATGATTATATCATCTTTTTGGTATCATTTTATGCATGTTCTATGTCCCTGTGATCATTGCACCACTGCTTCTTGTTTTTCCACTGCATTGATTTGATCTTTCTTTCTCTTGTCCGATTGTTTCTGTCGTTGGTTTAGTTTTTCTTCTAAGATTGAATCTTGCGGTTTCTGGGTTAGTTTCTTTTCTTGTGTGTTGGATAAAAACAAAAGCTTTTCTGGGATATACAAATCTGTTCCAATCACAGACAAGTTTCGGTTTTCACGGGTTTTGTCACTCCCCGCCAATCTTTTCGGAACCCACAAGCAAAAGGGTCTCTCTTTTGGGTCTAGTTTGGTGCATGTGAATCTGAATCTGGGTTTATTAAGATTGCAAGCTATAAACCTTTTTTAATGGGATTTTGTTTTGCAATGTAATAGGTGAAGTAGTGATAGGTGGAGGCAAACAGCAGAAGAAGAACGGTGCAGCGGAGGGAAGAAACCGCAAGGCACTTGGTGACATCGGAAATTTAGCCACTGTTAAAGGAATTGAGGTCAAGCCTAATCGCCCCATAACAAGGTTCTCTCTCTCACACTCACTCACTCACTATTAATGTGATGTTTTCATGGTTCTTTTATTATTGGAGTTTGTGATATATTTTTTTATTCTTTTAGGAGTTTCTGTGCTCAACTACTTGCAAATGCACAAGCAGCTGCAGCCGCTGAAAATAACAAGGTAAATTACTCCATCTTCTTCCTTTGTTTGATTGTTTTCATTAGCATGTTCTGATTTTTTTTTTCTTGGATGGACCTTGAAATAGCAGAAACAGGCCTGTGCTAATGTAGCTGGGCCTCCTGCTGTTGCTGATGGAGTGGCTAAAAAGGCACCACCTCCAAAACCGGGCCAGAAGAAAGTTAATGTGAAACCAAAGCCAAAGCCTGATGAAATCATCAACATTGAACCAAGTCCAGAAAAAGAGGTTCTTAAAGATAAGTCTGAGAACCAGAAGAAAAAGGAAGGAGATGCAAATATCAAGAAGAAATCACACACTCTTACTTCTGTGCTTACAGCTAGAAGCAAGGTAGGTTTCCATAAAAATTAAATAGAAAAAACGCAAAAAAATAAAATAAAAATGCTGTCTGAAGTCTGAACCATCAAAATGTTCTAATGATATTTTGTTGCAGGCAGCATGTGGTATAACTAACAAGCCTAAGGAGCAGATTGTTGACATTGATTCTGGTGATGTCGACAATGAACTTGCTGCTGTTGAATATATAGAAGATATGTACAAATTCTATAAATTGGTTGAGGTATTGAACATGATTCCCTTCATGAAGTTCCTTATATTTCTTAGTCCTTGTGTTTGATGTGAGGCATTTCTAATACGTGAATGTAAATTTTGATGCATAAGAATGAGAGCCGCCCCCATGACTACATTGACTCACAACCTGAGATAAATGAGAGGATGAGGGCTATTTTAATTGATTGGCTGATGGATGTTCACTCCAAGTTTGAGCTTTCACTTGAAACCCTTTACCTTACCATCAATATAATTGATCGGTTCCTAGCAGTTAAGACTGTGCCAAGGAGAGAACTTCAATTGGTTGGCATTAGTGCCATGCTTATGGCATCCAAATATGAGGAAATTTGGCCCCCAGAGGTATATGATGCTTTCGCTACCTTCATGTGTTCATTGATGTATCGTATTAGACCTTTCAGTGTCAATAGATAAGGATTTTGGGGATAACACTTCTCTTGCATTGCAGGTTAATGACTTTGTTTGCCTCTCAGATAGAGCTTATACTCATGAGCAAATATTGGTCATGGAGAAAATCATACTAGGCAACCTGGAATGGATTTTGACTGTGCCTACACCCTTTGTGTTCCTAGTTCGTTTTATCAAGGCATCAGTCCCAGATCAGGAGGTGAGTGTGTCACCCTTCTAGTTCCAAGTTTATATGCATTCGTATATGATTCTTTGGTGTATTGTCTGAATCTTTCTTGTTTTTGTGTTTCTAGTTGGAAAACATGGCCCATTTTCTTTCTGAATTGGGAATGATGCATTATGCTACCTTAATGTATTGCCCATCAATGGTTGCTGCCTCAGCAGTCTTGGCAGCTAGATGCACTCTTAGCAAGAGTCCATTTTGGAGTGAGACCCTTAAGCGGCACACCGGTTACTCACAAGAACAACTCATGTATGTCAATAGAAATTGCTCTTTCTATTTTTTCATTATTATGATTCATTTGTTTTTTAATTAACCAAAACTCTATTTGGCTTTGTTGGTTGCGAACAGTGATTGTGCTAAACTATTGGTGAGCTTCCACTCCACAGCTGGGAATTCCAAGCTTAAGGTTGTGTACAGAAAATACTCTGATCCTCAAAGAAGTGCTGTTGCTGTGCTCCCACCAGCTAAAAATCTTCTGCCTGAAGGTTCTCTCTTCCAACAGAGTTAGGGAGCAACGAAGATAATTTTTTTTTTATGTGGGATTCGGCAATAAACCTTCTGCTGTTGCTGTAATCGTTTTTTTTCCCTCTTTGCCAATTTGTACTATTAAAACGAAATTTGATCTAATATAAGTCTCTAAGTTCTTTTTAAAATCTCACTTTAAGAATTTTTAGGCAGTTAACTTTAAAATTTTTTTATCTACATTCATTAAAGTAACCGAGAACAATTTGCAGAAGGGGGGGGGGGTAGGATACCAGAGTTTCACAGTATTAAAATGTACATGTTACCAACATTAATTAAAAAAACATTAATTAAAAAACACTGTTAGGTGTTTGCATATTTCGACTATGAGAAAAGGTTAATACCAGAGTTTCACAATATTACCAACATTAAACACTATTAGGGGTTTGAATATTTCGACAATGAGAACAGGTTAATAGGGACTGGTAATCTTCATTTTCTGTTACAGTGTTTGCATATTTCGACAATGAGAAAAGGTTAATACCAGAGTTTCACAATATTACCAACATTAAACACTATTAGGGGTTTGAATATTTCGACAATGAGAACAGGTTAATAGTACTGGTAATCTTCATTTTCTGTTACAGTGTTTGCATATTTCGACAATGAGAAAAGGTTAATACCAGAGTTTCACAATATTACCAACATTAAACACTATTAGGGGTTTGAATATTTCGACAATGAGAACAGGTTAATAGTACTGGTAATCTTCATTTTCTGTTACAGTGTTTGCATATTTCGACAATGAGAAAAGGTTTATACCAGAGTTTCACAATATTACCAACATTAAACACTATTAGGTGTTTGAATATTTCGACAATGAGAACAGGTTAATAGTACTAGTAATCTTCATTTTCTGTTATATCTGATAATAGTTTCTGTTTATTCAATTTCTATTTTACAGAAAACTTAAGCTTAACCACAGTTTCACAACATTAAAAATGTACTAACAACATTAATCGAAAAGCACTATTAAGGCGTTTGCATATTTCACAATGGGAACAGTAATTTCTTTTTCTGTCAAATATGTTATTTTAATAGAAATTTTCTCCTGATTGTGTTAATCTTACAGAATTTTTTCACCTTCTCTATAATAAGCACAGAAATTATCTTACAGCATTTTTTAACCTTCACTTCAATGTAAGCACAAGAAATTTTTTTATTTCAATTTAATAATAGATTCAGAGTCTACAAAAATGTGTAGTTTAATCCCATATAAACCACGTATAATTTTGGCCACGCTTCATTCACAGAAATTATCTTACATAATTTTTTAATCTTCTCTCACTATAAAACACAATTTTTTTAATTTAATAATAGATTATGTCAGTTTTATATAATAATACTCTTAAAAATATTTTTCTTCCACACTCCGGTTCACCAAAGCAAGAATGAAAGATGAACAAAGTCACTCAATATTTTAATTTAATTGATTCTAATAAACATAGCATTACAAAGTAATATAATATTATTTTAGAAAATTCATCAAAGAAAGAATTGTAAAGCTTTTTAAATTATGGCTTAAATTAAACAATACCTACAATTTTACATAATATATTTTAGAAATTTCACTAAAGAAAGAATTGTAGGAGCTAGTCTTTCAAACTATGACTTAAATTAAACAATGCCTACAATTTTGCATAATGTCCACAATCGATGACTGCCTTCATTTTATGTTATCTTATCATATTACGTAATGCCCATAATTAATAACTGTCTTAAGAAAAGCAATGCGGCATGCATACAATATAGTATGATAAAAATGTTTTTCAACTAGTCAAATTTTTAACTCTGGTAGCTTGAATTAATTACTGACATTGTCTCTCTTAAATTAAGCTCATATCATTCCAAGCATTTTCTACATCTCTTACCTAAATTACTACTGTGTATGCCAACAAACTTTACATTGTTATTTCTATCATAAAAAATTCTATCAATCAAAGTACCTTTAATATATTTGAGAATTCTTTTAACTCCTTGTAAATGACAATTACATAGTTCTTCTATAAATCTATTGAGTAGCCTGACTCTAAAAACTATATATTGCCTGGTGGTAGTCAAATATCTTAGACTTCCAATCAAGCTCATATAATATGTTGGATTCACCTTTTTGCCTTTGCTTTCCTTTATTTTGTTAGCTTTAATTTTTCTTCAACTAGTATAGTAAAGCTTTAAATTTTCCATTTTGAATTTCTTTAAAATATTTGTAGTATATTTCTTTTAAAAAATAAAAATATTATCCTTCTACTACTAACCTCAATGCCAAGAAAATAAGACATTAGGCCCAAATCTATCATCTCATAACATTTAATCATAGCCTTCCTAAATTTTGCAATCATCTTTGTATTGTTCTCAGTAAGGATTAAATCATCAACATAAAGACATACAATAAGAATATCATCAAGTTTAAAAATTTGATATACAAAGTAGGCTCAAACGGGCATATCTAAAAATCATATTACACGAAGTAAGAATCAATTTTCTTGTACCACGTCCTAAGTGCTTACTTCAAGCAATACAATGTTTTTTTTTCAACTCGTAGACTTTATCTTTTTTGCTTTCAATCTTATATCCTGCAAGTTATTCAACATATACTTCTTCTTCCAAAGTACCATTTAGAAAAAGCAAACTTAACATTTATTTGATGAATTTTCTAATTATTTTGAGCTAATAAAGAGATAAATATACTAAGTGTATCGAATCTTCCTATAGGGAAAAGTACCTCAAAATAATCAATACCTGATTTTTACTTGTACCCTTTTGCTGCCAACTTTGCTTTGAAGCGAATTATTTTTCCACTCGCTTTGTACATAATTTTGTACACCTATTTCATTCAAATCAACTTTTTATCTGTTGGTAAGTCTAATAACTTTCATGTTTGATTCTTTTTGATGGTATGAATTTCTTCATCCATTACTTTCCTCCAATATCGATTATTTGAGACTTCTTTAAATGTTACAAGCTCACAATATGCAAATAAAGCAAAGTTGATAATTTCTTCAATAGATGGGCCATTGTCATTACCCACAACATAATCATCCAATCTAGTTGGTAGTTTTCATTGCCTTTATGGTCTGCTTGATATTTCTAGCTCATTAGATCTTTGAACTATATGACCATTTCCTCTTCATAGTTTTTTAGAATTACCGCAAATTCCTTTTGGGATTTCGAAGACCAACCCCTCATTTCTTCTTCATCAAATGTCATATCTTTACTGATAATTATCATATTTGTCAATGGATTATAAAACTTATACGCCTTTGAGTTAGTATTGTAACCAATGAAGATGCCTTTTCTCCTTTGTCATTAAGCTTCTTTTTGAGTGATCTAGCACATGAGCACAAGCTATACACCCAAAAACTTTAGGGTGACATATAAAGGGTCTTCTTCTACTCCAAACTTCTTCTGGTGTTTTATTACAAATACTCTTTATTGAACATTTGTTCTAAATATACAAAACAGTAGCAACTACTTCTCCCAAAAAATTCTTTGGGCAGTTGTTTTGCCTTCAACATTCATTTCATCATATCCATGATTGTCCAATTCATCCTTTCTGCTACTCTATTTTATTGAGAAGTGTATCTAGTTAGCCATTGATGCTGAATTCCATGCTGGTCAAAGAAATCTGCACAAGCAAAGTACTCTTGGCCTCTATCTATCTTGAGTGCTTTAATTCTACAACCATTTTGGTTTTCTACAAATGCCTTAAATAATTTAAAGGCATCATAAGCTTCTTATTTCTATTTCAAAAAATATACCCAAGCTTTTATGCTTAAGTCATTAATAAAAGTAATGAAATACCTGCTACCACAATGTGTTGGATCTTTTGGTAAGTGTACAAATTGATTTGTGTAATTAGTGATTAGTTGAGTTGTCGTATTTTACACAAAATGGTTAATATACTATAATTTATATTATTGTAATTAAAATGCTTAACAAAAATTATGTACCATTGCACATATATTCACGACTTGAGTTTTATAAAATCAAAGACAATGAGTATGAACAAGATACAACAATAAAATCGTTAAATTGCAAGGATTAAAAATTGGGATTGAATATTCGTGAACAAGTGTACCCATCGAAAAAAATAAATAGTTTTAAAATTAAGTTTCCAAATTATTGTCCCACAGATATTATTTTCAATTACTAAAAATACTTCGATTCAATTGTTTAAACAGAAAAAGTGCATAATGAATTAAAGATCACAAAGAGTTTAAATCTAAAAAGTAATTTAAAAGGAATAAGAAAGTAAATTTTTTATAGTAATTGGATGACAAGAGCCTAAGGCATATGGATTCACCTATTGTATCTTTCTATGTTTTCTTTAGTTTAATTCTAATGTTAATTTCTTTAGTGTTTATCAACCACTCATACTTAGTCTATTAACACCCAATGATAATGCAATGTTAATATTCCTTTCCCTAGGCAATTACCCCCAATGATAATGTAAGGAAAAAGGTAGAAAAAGCATAAAGAGCCTATTAATTTGTTAATTTAATAATGGGTGGAAGAGAAGAATTAAGTTTGATTCTTCTAATCCTTTGTCCCATTTTATTCCATAGTTTCATTAATTACATGTGGTACGAATATTTATGATACAATTAACTATGAGATGCTAAGGGTGATAAGTTCTTAACATGAAAAATTCAATTCAATATAATGAAAAGCAAATACACAAAGAAACCAATATTATTATTAGACTTAAAAATCTCATAGAGCATGCAATAGGATCTGTCATAGCCTTAGCTATGGATTTAATTATTTATAATAAAATAAATAACAAAAAGCATGAATAACAAATCCATAAACACAAAGTACAATTCAAACAAGAGAAACCCAAAAGGAAAAAAAGATTAAAAGAGTTCTTGTTTTCCAAGGAGTGCTCAATTACTCGCTCAGACTCCGAAGATAAGGTTGTCGTCTTTACCAATGGTCTCCAATAACTTTCAACAGTAAAATAAGTTAGAGTTAAGAGGGGGAAGA